TTGATATGAATTGGTGAAAAAAAATAGCCCAAGGTGAGCGTGTCAGGGCCCAGATGTGCATTCAATGAATGGTGACGGGGAAATAATGAAAACATGCACGACACAACAAAGCGAAACATGGAAAATACAAAAAATGCAGAGCTAAATGAAAAAAGGATAACCAGGCCGGCAGTAAATCGTTCCATACTTGGCTATTATCGATCAGGCTGCAGGGGGCGCAGCGCTGCGACCGCTTTCTTTGAAAACGTCGTTGTCGAGCGCCGGCGTTCGCTTGGACTTGCCAACGTCCTGGGGTCTGTTCGGGGGGGGGTTATATCTTTTTAGGTGCGGAGCTTTTGAGGAATGGTGAGCAGCATGCAACGGCAAAGTTTCTACTGTTTGTGTATTCTACCTAGTTGCTAACTGAACAATCCCCGTGTAAATATTCCGGATGCAGACCGTTTTGGGATAGGCTAGGGGTAAATCGCGAGCTGGTTTCCATGCTTCACGCGAGGATTGCTTCGTTCAAACGCAATTTCATCAGGATTAAAAGTCGTCCTGAAACCCCTCCATCTTTTCTCTTTCCAATAAGCTTTACAGTTTTTCTGAAGACCCACTAGTTCAGGAGATATTTTAGATGGGTCACAGATGCGCCACCCTCTGACCCACCCGAAAAATTGACTCCTTATGTGCCATTGTGAGGATACACCTTCGGAAACTTCAGTGTGCCTTCAAAACACATATTTCCCTTCAAATGAGTGAAAGAGAAGCCTCCGGCTATCTCTGCAATCTGGTTTAAGCGCCGTGCGCCGTGCATTAGGCTCCTACGCAGAGGTGGTGGAAAGGTGTAAATTCTAATTTCAGGTGCTTTTATCCATGCAAGCAGATGTTTGTTTAGGGTTTGTAAAGGACAACACGCACGAATCTGTTTGAGACGTATTATTTAGTCATCTACGTACTTACGAGTTCATGCTATAAACTGACACTTATTTATTTATTTATTTATTCTTGCTATATTGCTAATAAATCTTTTATTATTTTGTATTCCTATTTACATCCGGGTCTTCTGAAGCTTTCCGTCCGTTCCATTACCCTTAGCAATGACACCTTTGTACTGTTTGATGCCTAGCGAGCCTACTTTTTGCCGAGAGTCCCACGTCCCCCCGCGCCAAGCTACGAACCCTATTCTGGGAACTTCCCAATGAAAAAGAAGGCTGTTAAACGTAGAATTTAAAAGCTGTAAAGACATACATTGACAACTAAAACTTCATTATTTTGAACAGATTCTTGACTTCCAAAGCCTCCGCCTCCCACTAATCAACTGACAATGTCGAACATTGTCGAGCTCTGGAGTGACCTTGAGCTACGACCCCCCCCTCCCAGCGGCCAAGTTACGACCCCCCTCATGGTTTTCGGCACAACGATGGCTGCTACCCTGGATCAGGCGAACCTAGTTCAATGGCATGACGCTTCGTTCAATGCGCCATGCATAGCGCCTTTCACGGCCAGAGGTATTTTTTGGGGAAGCGTGCAATTTCTTAAAACTAAAGGGCGGGGCCTTCCTCCGTGCAAGTAGCATGCTGCCAATAGAAAGGTCCCGGAAGTGTATCCATCTCTTATCATTCTTCTTATCCCGCCGTCGACTCCGCCTCAGGCCAAGCCTTCTACCCTCCGGTGTCCGACGCGTTTAAAACGGTACCAGGTTCCTGAAACACTGACTTGTACATCGGCTGGCCTCCACAAGTCATTGTGCCACATCGCATTCAGTAAGCCACTGCGATTCTGAATGGAAGTGAAATGCGTGCCGCATTCCACAAAGGGGGGTTGAACTTAAACGCGTAAGACTTTACCATTCTTCATCTCTTTTTTATTAATTCATGACGTCTGAGCGGCCATCGTATTTCCTGTCATCGCCCGTTCCCCACTTCTGCGCTGGCAGGTTGCTTCTGTCTTGTGTGGGTCTCTTCAGGGGTTCTTCACATGGATAAGTCTTTCATCATTGAAGCTGAACGACATCTGGGTATCGCTGCACCCTCACTTCAGAAAGGTCCCCGCGCTTACGACCCCCCTCCCTCGAGGTCAAATACGACCCCCTGTTGTGATGATCACAACGATGGCGTGCCCTGCCCGTCGAACACTGCTGATGCCTTCTGTGGAGACCTGTACATAAGTTCCTGTGAAGAATGCAATAGCCTGAGCTTCGTTTACACTTGACAGGAGTCTATAGGTCTCACCAAATTGTAAGGTGTAATTCAAGGGGAACTAGCAAAAGATACAAATGAATGTGTCAAATGCCACACTCCCCTACCCCCCCCCCTCCCCTCCAAGCCAACAGCGCCCAGGAGCCGCATGAGCAGCACATCCCAGAGAAGTTTTCCCAAAACTCGATCATTTTTTCTCCAGCACTTCATAACATATCGAAGAAAATGTAATCTTTAGTCAACTGACCAACAGATGAAGGCATGAAGATGATATCGTGAGCGATCCATTGACCAAATTGCATGAAGAAATGATTTTTGGAGTAATCAAACGCAGGATTTGCTCCCTAAAAAGGAGATTGTTATCCACGTTCTAGCATTTTGAGCTTGCTGTAACTTCGCTGGGAAAAGTAACTGCTACTACATAGTAGATCGAAAATATAGTCATTTACTCAAGGATTTGTTTTGATAGAGCCAAGGTTAGTTTTCGAAAGTAGACCACGAAAATGGAAGTTGATTTGCTGATTGTACCACACAGTCATTTTCTCTGGAAAATGTGGTAGGCGTGGATTGGAGCGCAGCCAGGACAGCCTTCTCACCAATAGTTGCAGGTTCAGAGTGGAGTGAATTAGTGGGGAAGGTATTCACGGTCGCGCACTAATCCACGCCCCTCACACACCTGTATCCTTGATTGTAATTCTATCCAGTGAACAGCCGTTTGAGACTACTAATGGGCGCAGTTTGTCGACGGGGGGGGGGGGGGCATTTTGCTTTCCATAGATGTGTCGACCCATCTAGGCAGCCGTTTCTCGAGTTGACACGTTTTAGGATAGTGGCTAGACGATCTTAGTTCAGCTTCACAAGAGTTCACAGGTTTTACCAGAGTGAGATTTGTAAACCGGAACTAGGGAAGCAATGATAATACAAAATGCCCCCCCCCCCCGTCGACAAACAGCGCCCTATTTAATTGTAATTGGAAGTTAAGGAACTGTGTTGTACCTCTTGGTGCGAGCTTGTATCGAAGATATATTTCTTTCTCATGTCGACGGAAGAGTTGTTGCCCTTGACGACCTTTGGTTCGTCATGCATTGAAACCCATCCGTTACAGTAGATCAGAAACGTGGATAAAGAATATTTTGCCCTGCTGCATTCATTTTCCCTATGATAAGGACAAATTACTGAACGCATCGACCTGCACCCTCATTACGAGAACCATGGGCTCCAGGGAGATAGGAGTGCAGAGCGTTAACGCTCTCTAGATCTCAAGCAGAGCAGAGATTGTTCTGTTCGACGCCCAGTTCTCTGTACCCCGCGCTCATCAGTATCATACAGCAGTTAAGGTGGATTATGCTCAATCGCTTACCGAGAGGTAGTGACAGGTCGCGAGAAAAAGCTCTCGGCGGACCGGGGGAACCGCATTTCAGCGCACATCCCTAGTGCGCGAAGGTATCCTGGCAGTACTTCATGTAAGTCAACGTCTCTCGCGGCAATGTCTCCTCAGATACGGTGCCCTTCGTGAAATTGACAGATCGGGATACGGTCGAAATGGCTTTGTCATAACGACCTCCTCTCCTTTCGTAGCCGCGCCTCGGACCATCTTCCCAAATCTTTCAGTCCCTGATCCTCACCTATTCTCCAGAGACTTCCAGTTTTTACGATGAAGTGTCAAAGATGTTGTTCAGGTGAAGGACTTCATTGAAACCGGCTTGAAACAGGCCAATCTACCACAGCATGAGCGAAGCCCTCACTGTTAGTGGGTATGAGTGAAATAAAGGTATTATGCATATAATTCCGCTCCCCCCCCCCGCTGTTTTTGACCACTTCCTTATTTCGTTGTATCGAAGGTTGGTATTCTGCGTCATCAGTGTGTCGTGACGCGTACATGATACTCTTTCACACAGCACTAAGCTATCACGTCACCACCATCCTTCATTTGCAGGCACAATTGCCTGCACAATTAACCAGTGCAAACCATAAACAGTGTGATTGGTGCGGCACTGTCGGCTCTGGGGGTTCCCAGCCCCGCCCTTGGTACATTGAATCGACAAGCTGCGCTGAGCGTTGCGTCCGAGTAGTGGATGTGATGGTGGCATACCTCTAAATCTTCAGGTTGTTCGCGTAATCGAGATATTGGCAAAAAAGTCGAGAAAGAACTGTATGCAACAACCTAATATTACAGTCTAAGATTAACGATGATTGCTGAATTTATGAGAGTGAAGCTGGGCACTTCCAGTTTATTCCCCAATCGCTGCCCTGGGAAGAGGAGTGGAAGCGTCTCATCACCCATCGCCTACCAAAACCAGCTGTCAGAAATAAATATAGTACGGCTACGGGAAAGGGCACAAAGCCAAGTACAAACCCTCCCCTCCCCTTGGATGGGATTCTGCCAACGATGGTGTGCCTTGTTCTCTTATCAAAGACGTGAACATTTCCATAGTGGAGTAATAGACATAACAACAAATCGAAACTCCAAGTAAGTAACCCACCGTCTGCGTAGCTGGGTTTTCCAAGAAGGCGGCGAACAGGGGTCACTGCCGCCCCTTGCATCGGATTCTTCACGTTGTTGCATTTACCAGTTATTGTTCGAATCCCGTTGCTGAAATGATCAAGCAGTCACAGTTTTAGATCCAAATACTAAATATAGCATCTATCGGAAGCTATCTATGCGAAAAAATATTTCACACTTTCACCCCCTCCTGAGCTTTGCTGTAACTAAGGGAGGTGCACTGTTTAGCTCTGAGATTAGGGGCAAAGAAGGGTGGGGCACAGCGTGAGGCTATTACAGCCATAAATAGTGAGGTTCACACTATTTCTTAATTTACGATGGTTTGCTGGCTCTACGAGCTTGATCCAATTTGCAGTTTTACAAGACTTCTAAGGTAAGGAAATTGATGCTACGCAAAAAAACAGAAAACGCTCACCCGGCCCCACAGCTTGGGCCAAACAGCGCCCAGATCAGTTAGTAGTAACTTGGGGTCTGATGCAATGACCATTCATCTCAGTAGTCCCCATGATATGGACTTTGCCCCTCTACGCTATTGGGATTGGACCTTCCAGAGTCACCCTCTGAGCACTAGCACTGGCGTGACAAGTATCCCCAAAGATGTATCTGCCAATGGATACATCGCTATGTGAATACAAAACCCATCCCTGGATCCTACAGTCATTAACAAGCGTTTTACTGTTCACTTTTATTCGTACTACTACAACAAGTCAATTGGCATCACCTGTTCGGATCAGCGCAGTCTGTGATTCCACATGCTGAAGTCCCACGCTTCTTCCTTGCTACATTTGCTTCAGTCAGAAGATCATCAATGTTAAGCTCGCTAAGTTCGTCAAGTACGCCGACCCCGAGCTTTTCCACCATGATCTGTAAATATTCACATCAAAATTCATTGAAGGATAGCTGAAAATGGAAATTAGCTGTCCTGATAGCGAAAGTGGTAGAAATTTTTTCAATAAGAGAAATTACTAAACGGAGGGGGGAGGAGGTCATTTGAAAGCCCCAGGCTCGTCTCGTCGTATGGGCGGAGGTAGTCGCTACTATTATGCCTGTCTATTGGTCACTTTCCTTTCTTTTGATATTCCTCGTAAAGAAGGGTGCACCAAGGAACTCACTCAGAAAGAGGCCCTTGTACCGACGTTGCAAATGCCGTTGTGTAATGAGGAGACAGATTCTGAGGGAGTGATGCGGCTCTAGTGTTCCGGTCCGTGAGCTGTCTGGGATCATTTCGAGTCATAGGTATCCCCGAAATATCACAGCTGTCAATACTAAAAGGCAGTGTGATCAAGGGGTCAATGGCATTTTAAGGACAGCGAGAAAATGGACTAAAGAAGGCTACAGTTGTCCACTATATATTTCCAGTTTGTCTATCAAAACAAAGCAAAAAATTCCAGGATATTCTCTTGGGAAAATCTTTGAAATTCACGGCTAGTCCCAATGCACCCTCCACGGTTGGCCCTGGTATGAACCCTGGGAAAGCAAAATTCGATGTGACCAAAATAATCAGCAGCAAAGACCTCTGCCTTTTTTTTTCCTAAAGCTCCTGTTCTATGCTATTCCTTGGGAAAACTTGAGCTATCCGCTTTTTCGTTTTCAGGATTAAACTTCGGGTGCTGTTCGGGTTAAGGGGAAGCCTTCTCTTCCTAGTTTCTCTTTCTAGTTCCTCCTGACCTACACGTCTCACCTTGGTGAAACCTGCAAACTCTTGTCAAATGTAAACGAAGCTCATGTTATTGCATAGTATAACAAGAGAGGGTACAGATCTCCATAGGAGGGGTCGGTACTCAATCATGGAATACGATATCAAAAAGCGGAACTGCGCCAAAATTGTTGATTAATCTACTAAAGGAAACTCACTCTAGTGAATACTTGCACATTTTATTTGGGTGCTGTTGATGACTGTGATATTTCTTCTTATTCGACATCTCCGAGGAGTGATAAAGCTTGACGAACTCACCTTGGTCACTTCTGACAGAAGATCTCCTTTGAGCTGCTCCATTTCTGCTTCTGCATTTGCTTTCTGAGTATCAGGGATGTTACCTGGAAGGAGCTTAATTTGTTCTGAGTCGTTCTGCTGCTGACTGAAGAAAGAAAAAGCATTGTATACATCAAATCCCCCTTCATCCCCACTCAGCGGAATTGATTCTGAGAATGAGGTGTTTTCCACTGGGCTTATTTCCTTACTGACAAACGACGTAGGTGATTCCCGAATAGGGTAGGATTTTGCTGGAGATGGGCAGGAACTCTAGTGAGGAGAATGCCTTACGGGACAAAACGGCAGTCCTGATTTTCTTAATTTACTCAGAATCTAGATCTTCTGAGAACTTGCCTAGGGCGCTGTTCGGCGACGAGGACGACCCATCTAGACAGCCTCTTTTCGAGTTGACAGGTTTTACCATGATGGCTTGACGAGCTTGCTCCAGCACAAGAGTTCACAGGTTTCACCAGAGTGAGACTTGTAAACCGGAACTAGTGAAGCAACGAAAGTGCAAAATGCCCCCTCGTCGCCGAACTGCGCCTTTGCCTAGCTCTGTAAAGATCCCTCTATGAAGATTTTCTCTTTTGATTTCCTCTGACTTGGGAGATCGAGAACCAGGGATTGAGTTCCCGCTGACCTCGTTCCTCAGAAAATCTAATGAACTCACCACCAACAACGACAGGTGCATTCTTTTCACGCTCGGCTATATTTGCTCGTGCGGTAGCGATTGCTTGCACGACAGTATCTTCGAGGAGATCCGCCCTGCAAAAAATTA